TCGCTCAGGATAAATCCCGTAAGTATAAATATGGCAAAGGCAAAAAACAAGTGACCCGGCCGTCTAATGGGTTTCATGTACATACATATATCTTAAACAACTTATGTTACAAAACTCAAATAAATAATACACCTTGTCTGAAACCTCGATTTTCAGATATCGCGGCATAAAGGGCGTGCTGTCAAAAGCAGCTTTTAAATCGACGAAGAGGAGGTGTGTGCTGATTCTCTTGTCACCGGCTTTTCCCAAGATTTGGCGCGTGGTGAATATCTGCTCAGTTATTGATTCTCACACTGATAAGGCCCAAGCAGTTTGTTGATTTGGGGTCTCCCTTTTTGTGGATTGGGCAAAGTACACTGATGCATGCTCCTTATTAGTTCTGGCAATCCATCGGCCTTGCCGCTTTGTTGGTTTTTAGACGGGTAATTACTATTTGAACTTCTTCATGGATTGGCGAATCGGGTTCAACATCTCCAGGTGTTATGCTTTACTGCCGTTCAACAAACTGTAGAGGTGTTCCTTCCGTAATTTTAGTATGCTCTGGGCATCGGCTCCTAGGTCACCTGTACGGGTTCTACAAGAGTTGCTACGGTCTTGAAGTGTTCTGTTAATCGTCACATATTTTCGAGCATTACCCCTGTCGGCCAGCTGGTCAAGCTCTTGATACTCTCGTATTTCTCTTTCTTTATCTGTCGCAAATGCGTCTCGCTACCCTCTTCAACTCTCGATATCTATCGCATCCCGGACGTGTTGTGGTCGATTGTAACGTTGCGAGGTAGGCAGTCTGTTTTATCACTTCTGTGACACGGCATTCATCATCGTACCAGCTGTTTCTTTGCTTTTTCCAAAAACCAAGGTTTTGGTAGCAGCTGTACGTAAGAGCTTGAAATGTCGTCCCAGAGTTCCCTTATACCGAATTGCTGATGATTGCTCTCAGAGAGCAGGAGTGGACGTCAAGTAGAGAATCATTCGGCAATCTGTTGTGATTGCAGCTTCTGTGAGTGTCAAAAATAAGTAAAGAGCTATTCTATCAATATTAAAGTGTTTATTACAAAACAGTTTTTAATACAATAATAAAAATTTTTGTTATAGAATTCAAGGCTTATATTATAAGAGTTTAACTTAATTTTAATAATAAACAAAAACTAAACACAGCCAAAAATATTTCTCTTAACCCCTTGACGTATTCCCACGATTATTCTAACATGAGTCTGGCTCGTGGTGCGTAGAAGTGAACATTTGATGAAAAGGAATTGAAATTTTCCTGTAATTTCCATCTAATAATGTAAACAAAAAATATCTTTGCAGTTGACTGCTCTATCTACTGTGTAATTATCCATATTTTTTGTGACGTATTAAAATTAAGTCGTAGTGTTTTATTTTATGTAAATTTGTAAAACAAGCGTGCGACAGTTCGTAAGCAACAAAACTGCTTTGTTTAGTGCTAGTTGCGTGCGAACAGTTGGAAGCGAATTTCGTTGCGCTAATTGATAAGTCAAAGGGTTAAACTAAAAATACTCTCGTTTTTTCGCGTCAAAAAAAGTAAACAATGACAAAAACAGTTGTTTGCTTTTAATACTTATTTTGAGGTAGCGCCAAATATCTTTTTTAAACCGTTACCATTGAAGAGAGTGAGTGTAGTAAAACATATTTTTTTATATCATTATTGGTTTTTTGAGGTTAAGTCGCTACAATATCAAAATTTGTAATGGGTAGGCGAACAACCACTGAAACGGTTAAAAAATCATATTAGATTTACATGAAATAGGGTAATCCTTGCACGAAATCTGAGATATAGTTGTTAGACCCTATTGCACAATAAACAAAATTATTTGATAAACATTGTAAACATCAGACTTGAAAATTTGTCACGAGCTATAGGGGAGACATCGGGTATACCAGTAAGTGCCAGTACAATCAGGAGAACGTTACACAAAAGCTGTTTGCATGGACGAATACTACGCCAAATGCTCTATACATCAACGGCGAAAGTTTTTATACGGACGAAAGCAAATTCGAAATATTTGAATCGAAAAAGCCTCCGAAAATTTGGCGATCCAAAAATAAAGTCTTTAATGAAAAGTGTGTTACCAACAGCGTAAAGTACGGTGTAGGATCGGTTACGGTCTGGCGCTGTATGGCAGCATCTGGTTTTGGGGACTTGGTTTTTATTGAGTCCACAATTAACAAATTGGATCTTTCAACAGGACAACGATTCTAAACACAAACCCAAAATTGTTAGTGAGTGGCTGTTATATCGAACACCAAAACTCTAGATAACCCTCCACAGACCCTAGACATTAATCCCATCGAGCATCTGTGGAAGCATCTTGACTGAAAAATCAGGCAGAAGGACATTTCAAGGAAGGACGAACTAAATCAGGCTTTGATTGAAGAATGGAGCAAAATCTCCCCAAATTTTACAAAAAAATTAACTTTAAAGAACTTAGTTTATTTTTTATTTTTGACGCGAAAAAACGAGAGTATTTTTAATTTAAGCGAATTATTTTTGGCTGTGTTTAGTTTTTATTTATTATTAATACTAAGTTAAACTTTTATAATATAAGCCTTGAATTCTATAATAAAGCTTTTTATTATTGTATTAAAAACTGCTTTGTAATAAACACTTTGATACTTTATAGAATGTCTTTTTACTTAATTTTGACACTCACAGTACGTCGAATCTTCCTCGTGTTTGTGGACACGCGGGAGACGGGTGCGTATCTTGGCTGCATCAAAGTAGTGTTCCGAGCCGATGTTAGGACCTCGGGGCGTACGAATGTCTAAAACACTGGAGACGTGTCTACCGTCTATCACAACATGATCGGTCTAGTTGGTGGCCTTTCGATCCGTAGATAGCCGGGTAGCGTGATTAATTTTTTTATGCTGGAATTTTGTATTACAGGCAACCATATTTCGGGCCCCTGCGAAGTCGATTAGCCTCAACACACGATCGTTGTGCCACAGATATCTTCTTCGCCCACCCTGGCATTAAAGTCGCCATGCACGATTTTGACATTGTGACGGGGACGGCTCTCATATGTTCATACCAAGCGCTTTTAGAAGGCATCTGTGGTCACATCGTCCTGTGCTTCTGTCAGTGCGTGGGCGTAAATCAGCGATATGTTGAAGAACTTCGCTTTGATGCGGATTGTGGCTACACTTTTATCCACCGGGGTGAATGCCAGGACTCGGCAACGGAGACTGTCACTCGCCCCGGGGAGCAGTCAGCCCTTGGAGGAAACTCGAATCTGCTCATTGGGTTTTTGGCCCCTTGGGGAAATTCGTGGTGGCTGTGGTTTAAACCTAAATGCAGGAAGGGTATTAGTTCGGTGTGGAGTCGCACTGCGGACTGGTGCCGGACCCAGAGTACGGCAGATGTTTTAGATGGGCCTCGTACCCGACCAAGGTAACTAGGGTGTGCTTGTCCACCCAAAACAATTGGAACCAAAGTATAAGTGTATGTGGCGGCACTCATGCTTTGGTTCTCCAGAGTGCTTTGGGGCGCTGATCAACGCATTGTTTTGATCTATGTGCTTCTAGCAATAGAAAGCACCGTGGAGTTAGGCCTTCGAAGGCAGGAACTCACGTAAAACCACAACGGACTCTGTCTCTCGCCACTAATCCCACCCATCCCAGCGGCACCTTCCTAATTAAGGGACCGTACATTCCAGGTGCATGCCCTGAAATCGTAATCCTGAATGCGTTTGTTATGGTCCTCATCAGAAGGGGGGTCTCTCATCCGAGGCTGTTGATTAGTTTTCATTGGGATCGAGTTTTACATGGCGGGTCCCAAACCCAGTGCGCAACCCTGCGGAGGGGCCTTCTCACTTTAGTTCTTCAAACGGATGTTCTGAGCTGCTTGAGCCATATTTAAAAGAATCATGACCACATGACCAGTACACATGACTAGTACCTGTATTTGACTTTTGACCGTAAATATGGGTAGGTGTGTAAGATATATAATTGAAATTTAGAAAATATTCTTTCCTCACAATGGTATCTCTGTGGGTTGAATCGTGTAAATACTTTAGCCTCCATATACATATCTAATATAAAGATATTATAAAGGGCGAAAAATTGATCTAGCTGCCATATAACAAACATATAACGTCCGGTTGACTTTACCTCATATTTACGCGATTGGTGATGGTATGTGAAGTTTCATAATGATTAATATATGGCGTGTTAATAGTGTGTAGTATTTGCTACTCTCATATACTACATATGTTTTGCCTTTTTTAACAAAACTTATGTCGGCTAGTGTATGAGTATACATTTATTTATATCAATTGATTTCAATCCTCTAGTTGACGTTTTGCACCTTAAGACCCTGGCTTTGATTCACGCAAGAGTATGAAATGTTCGAGCCAAATTTAGTTCTTCATTTCTTGTTTTTTATTTATATTGTTATACTATTTATTTTACTATAATATGAGATAAGACTTTCTGACACCTATTTTTTGAATTTATTAGAAAAACCTTCCTATTTAATTTTTTTTGAAATAAAGCATTTTGTGTTATCTTTTAATGCGAATATTCGCATACATAAAAGTTAATGTAAAGAACTGTGTAGATTTTATTTCATTTCAAATGCATTTGCTGATCATGAGTAAACATTTTTTCTGGCTAGTGTATATGTACATATCATTAAAAAAATATCTAGAAATATCTAGAAAAATAAGAATGTCATCGCCTTATGTAAGAGGACATTTTCTTTAAGATTTATTAATTGTTTTGGAACTAACCCGATGTAGTTAGTGCCGTTAGGATTTTGTTAGATGATATGTTTGAAGTTTCTTTATGTTTATTAATCGTCATTGATTAATATAATGTATTACAAAAGAGAAATTTCTTATTTTAATTATATTTTTTATTTTTTTTTTGGGAACAATAAGTTTTATTAATTAATTTATTTTTATTTAATTTTCATATTTACAATATTTAAATGTATTAAATTATATAACGTGTGTGCTTATATGTACAATATTTTCTTATAGTGAAACGGAGCGGTATAAGAAAATAAAATGGCAAGATGTTCGCGTTGGTGACTTAGTTCATTTATCGAATAATGAAACGGTACCAGCAGACATATTACTTTTAAGAACTAGCGACTTGCATGGCGCCTGTTACATCGACACTTGCGATTTAGATGGTGAAACCAATCTTAAACGAAGAGAAGTAAATATTTCTTATTCAGCTATTTTTTGCATAACTAAATAATGTCGTTATTAGGTTGTTCGGGGTTTCACCGATAAACAGAATATGTTCACCCCAAGTAAATTCGTGAGTCGTATTGAAGCTGACGCGCCCACCACAAAACTTTACAGATTCCATGGAGCCTTGATACATCCGACAGGGGAGCGTGTTCCCATTGCAACCGAAAACTTGCTTCTAAGGGAAAGCCGCTTGAAGGTGATTTTTTCTTACAATTTATTCTTGAAATTACTATTGAATACCTTTAAATTGTTACATTTCAGAACACTGATTTCATTGAAGGAATCGTGATATATACAGGCCACGAAACCAAATCAATGCTTAACAACAGTGGGCCTCGATATAAACGTTCGCAAGTCGAACAGCAGATGAATATTGATGTGATATGGTAAATGTAACTATTAATTATGCTCGATGACTCTAAGGATATAGTTTTTTAGTTTTTCGGAAACGAGATTGAAAGTGACTATAGTAATATACATACATAGTATAGATATGAGAGGAAAGTAAATGATTAATAGTGTTGAAAAAATTCCTATTTGTTTCTTATGCATCACAATTGGCAAAAATATATGTATATTTAAAAGACCTTTATAATCTTGCATTTGGCGCGTTTTGTATAGACAAAACTTAATATTAAAGAAATAAGGAAGAGCTGAGTTCGTGTGTAGCAGAAAATTTTATACTATCGCAATTTTGAAAAGTCATAATGTTAGGGTTACCAAGGCTAAACAACGTTATTTATAAAAAAAAAAAACATATTTACTTAATTTCATTTCAATATCACACATGTTGATCGACATTAACGGTTTAAAATCAGGTGGAAAGTCCGAAATCACTATATGAGATATATTGGGGCTGGTCCAATTGTATTAACGTGTACGGCAATGAAAACAAAGCAACCAGTTTTTTTTTACTTTTCAGAATAAACTGACAGCAGTCCTTTTTTAATTTCTTTTTTTTTTTTAATATAAATTGTGCCAAATTTTCATATTTCGTTAATTTTCGGACACCCTTTATATATTACATGTTTTCTTTATTTCGGTGATTTCGTTAAACTATTCGTTAAATATAATAAAGGGTGGCTTTTATTCATGTTAAAGCTCATTCAATTTTATTAAATATAGCTTAATTAGTATTAAAAATAATGGAATTTAAATGTCCCCGCTACTCGTTGATGCATGTGCGGCATCTTACCATAAAGTGGTTCATTACTGCTTGGAGAGTTGAGACAGGAATAGCCGCAATTGTTTCTCGAATGGATTGCCTTAGTTCATTCAAATTTGTTGGTTTTGCTTTGTAGACTTCCTGTTTGTAATAACCCCACAAGAAAAAGTCAGGTGCAGTAAGGTCAGGGGACCTGGGTGGCCAACGGAATGTGGAGTTTCTGGATATCAGCTTATTGGGAAATTTTCGTCGCAATTCTGTCATAACAGTTTGGGCTATGTGAGCAGCTGCACCATCTTGCTGAAACCACACAGAGTTGAAAGAAATTCTCATTCGGCGTGATTCTGGATAGAAAAACTCTCTCAACATGCTCAAGTAACGGTCTCCAGTAACCGTAACGGTGTGACCGTTTTCTTCGAAGAAGTAGGGCCCTACAAGGCAGCGTGATGAAACTGCACACCACACTGTGACACGAASTGGATGCAATTCCGTCTCATGGAGTATCTGTGGGTTGGAACCACTCCATATTCGACAATTTTGTTTGTTTATGTTACTGTTTAAATCGAAATGGGCCTCGTCAGACATGAAAAGTCAGTTCAACATGTTTCTATCCTCTTCCACCATTTGAAGCATCTTCTGGCAAAATTCCAAACGAATCGGCAAGTATGCAGTGTTCAGTTTGTTGGCCATTTGAATTTTATATGGGAATAAGTYCAAATCTTTGTGCATAATTGACTGTAATGACTGTCTGCTTACACCCATTTGAGCAGATAMDCTTCTTGTCGAAGCACGTGGATTGTTTTGTATGGCAGCAGCTACAGCAGCGATTGTTTCCTCCGTTCGAACAGAAGGGTTTCGATGGTAAGGTATTCTGATGACTGTTCCATGCTCGACAAAATTGTTTACAAGTCTCATTATGGTCCATCTGCTCGGAGGATTGCCGCCAAACGTGCGCCTATACTGTCTTTGAACAGAAACTACGGGCTCCAGTGCGTGATAGCGGCGGACAATCCAAATTCCTGTTTCAGTGTCCCAGTTATACGTTTTTGTTAAATGTAAAAGTCAATCTGCAAAATAAAATATAAATTAACCAGATTCATTAAAAAGAAAAAAAGTTATTTAAATTTTTTTTGGTAGTAGCTGTCAACTACCCTGTACAGTAGGGTGGGTCGATTCTGGACTTTTTTCGATTCGGGATTTCTAATAGTGCGGAAAAGTTGCCTTAATACTTCCTGATTCCAATGCAACTTTTTGTTTTGAGATCGGATTGCATCTTCAACCCCAACTCCGGCGGAAAACCCCAACTCTTTCGGAAATTCGCCTAAAAACGTGAAATTGTCTACCTAGCGCCTGAAATACGCATCTCATGGCAAAATGTATACAACAAAAGTTATTTGTCACGTCATTTGCTACCGAAATGGTATATGTAATCATGGCCGTAGGACGAACCGTGTCCGAGATACGTGCGAAAATGCGGCGAGCCACAGCGCAAGGTGAAAATCGGCTTGCGGCCACACTTCTTGACTTTGATTTCGCCGAGTGCTATCACTCACATTCATTCACCTACTCCAAAGGACACGTTCGGATAGGTCTTTACACAAATATTTTTTCATCGATTTCCTTCATTCTTGTCGTTGATTTCGCCGAGTGCTATCACTTATATTCTCTCAACAGAGCACATAACTCAAAATATCTGTATCTAAATTTAAATTTAGACAGAAATGTCCTGCGTTTGACATATATCCGTACAATCTCTCTGAGTCCCAGTTACCTTCTTACCAAGATGCTCTTTTGTGTTATCAGTTTGAAAGATTTCGTATAGGGCGACTCCGAGGCGACAACTATGAACCTAGGAGTAAAGAGGTTACAGAAATAGKTGCAARAAAGGTTGAAAATACTTTCAAAAAGTCATCTATTCCGATAGTTTCACACACCAGAATTGTACAAATGCTCACCACATACCATAAGAAATTTCTGACACTTTTAACAACAACACTTACCAGAAAAGTATCAGCTAGAACACGTGACCATTCAGATCAGCCAGACTCTCATACAGACGACTACAATGTTGGTGCGTCGCACATGGATTCTTCCAAAAACGATGCTGGTGATGAATTTTCTCTTCCATCCTCTAAAACCAAACAAAACACACTAGTATTAGAACACACTGCTTTAGCTGCCCAAAGGTTTGGAGTAAGTGATAGAGCAGCGGCCTCGATAGTTTCATCTGCTTTTCTGGATGCCAAAAAAGCAGGTTTGATAACAGAGGATCAGGCTAGCTTTGTTACTGACAAATGCAAGATTAGTCGGTCAAAAAGAAGTGTTGGAATTAAGCTCCAAAACACCGAAATAATTGACTCTGTATATGGGCTGTATTTTGACGGCCTCAAAGACAATACACTTACACAAGTCAGCGAAGGTGAAAAGTACTACCTCGACACTGTCAAAGAGGAACATATTTCTCTTATCTCTCTATGGCTCGCGCCATCTCTATGCTGCAATTCGAAGGTCGACATACTTACCTGCTAAACTGCGCAAGGTTGTCGATTCATCCATTCAACAGAATGCTTTCTTTGCTCTTCCAGAAAACATTCTCCTTAGTATGATGACTGACGAACGGATAGAAGTCAAAAAGTTGGCCCTTGACCGTCTTCTGGCAGCCAGAGAAGCAGAGTCTGACACTGTAAATGGAAGGGTTAGATGTAATAAAGTGCCAAAGCTGAATTTCAAAGCTAATAATTATTACGATATGATTAACTGAAAGACTATTACCTTGACTGCTTCACCAGTTCTTTGTTAAGTTTCTAACGAAGAACTCATAAAAGGGCTGTCGGGTGACATTGAAGAGGTATGGAAATCTAGTGAATTCCTCTCTCACACCGTGGCAGTCAAGAGAACCATTAAACTGGTGACAGAGGAATCTTCTAAAGTTATTGGCCAATCTCGTGATCGTTTCATACGCTCTACACTGAAATCTAGGCAACAAGTGCCAAAGTTTAGTACAAAATCTGATTTTATCAATAAATTTGACACAGATTCAGACTAAAACAAGCCTGACTTATGGTTGGTTGGTTGGGTTGGGCTTGGGAGTAACTCAAAGAGCCACCTCCACGCGGTGGGTTCTGGGTGACCAATACAGGTTAGCTGCAACAATTTTCACCTTGCGCTGTGGCGCGTCGCATTTTCGCACGTATCTCGGGAACGGGTCGTCCTACGGCCATGATCACATTTCCACCGGTATCAAATGACGTGACAAATAACTTTTGTTTTATACATTTTGCCATGAGATGCGTATTTCAGGCGCTAGCTTGACAATTTCACGATTTTAGGCGAATTTTCGAAATTTCAGGCCGGAGTTGGGGTTTAAGATACAATCCGATCTCAAAATAAAAAGTTGCATTGGAACCAGGAAGTACTAAGGCAACTTTTCCGCACTATTAGAAATCCCGAATCGAAAAAAGTCCGGAATCGACCCACCTTACAAAATCACACACACAAAATCACACACAACAAAACAAAACAAAATCATTACTGAACAACAGTGGGCCTCACTATATGTGCTCTCAAGTTGAGCATAATAGATGAATATTGAAGTGTTACCCATGTCACTTCCATAACTATTCGTTCACTTCATTTTGCTTCTAAAACAACCCATACATACGGTATAAATTCCATCAGTACTTTGAAATTCATGGCATGACGTCATATTACCAGGATATCCGCTCTGTGAGTTTCATAACGATGCCTAACATTCTGACTTTACTATATGTGACCTGGTCTACGGAAAGGGGGCTTAGGTGTCAAAAAATCCATTTTCACTTTTAGTTGAATCGGATGGAAGATGAGATGCTTTTTCACGTGATAGAATCCAAAAAGTCATAACTTGTTTCAAAGTTCCCTAAAAATGTAGAGAAAGAAGAGTAAAAATACGAAAAAATAAAATTTTTTTGTAATGAACAAAATACATTGAATTATAAGCTATAAAGACGGTTTAAATGACTTTAGATGTGTACTCGGTTTATTTGCCAGTCCGTGTTGGCGCACTGTTACACCCTGTGCGGCAAAATGACGTACTAAATGTTCGTAACACTTCTTCCCACACGCATGTAGAAAAAGGAAAAACGAACGACAAACAGGTACTCTGTAGAAGGTAAATGTAATTTTATGCCTCATAACTTCTGTATCCTGTCTCTGTCCATATTTCTTCCGCCCAGCAAGCTTTGCGTATACACTTTCTAGCTTTTCGTTACTCATAATTCCAGCTTCGATGTAACTTAGTATCACGAAATCAAGTTCATTTTTCGACATCTCTAAACATCGTACTCTCGATCATTTCCTGTGGTATCAGTGTAAGACATTTATTATTACAACAATCTTTTGGCAGAAATTTTGTTACCAGCTCCTCCTCCTTTACTTCAACAA